ATCGATTTCCCCTATACTCTTTTCATATCCTCCTCCATTTTTGTTTTCTGAAATTTCTCTAAACTGCCGCATGCTTACTTTGTCATGTGATTTTGCACATTTTACTTTTACTTCGGTCTCTTGCCTCTTGCCGAAATAGTTTTTGAGAGATCTTCCAGATGTTTATATTACTTGCATTTCATTCATTTTCGATTCTCTACATATGGCAACTTTACTTTGATATTTTGTGAGATCGGCGCATTTTACACTAGAGTTAAAGCTTATAGTGTGGGATTGAGTTTCATTTTTGTCTGCGATAACTGGAAATTGCACTGATGATATTTGTCCTGAGAATGTTTCAGTTTGAGGATCACTGCCGATTTTGAACAGTGTCAAATATAAAGGGATAGAACATAGTGTAGAAGGATGCCTTAAACCGATGCATTGCAAATGAGTGTATCAAACCCCGCGTAGGTTTAACATGTAACAGTGATGCATTGATTGCCAACGGCTACTGCGTTATTTTTGAGATTCAAAACATCAGTTTATAGCAATGATGAACATCAAAATTGTTCAATCGCTGGATGCATCGAAGTGTTTTTTTTTCCCAATAACGAAGAAAATTGCTTCGCAAAATTATATCCATCATCTAATTTAATCCTGGTTTTTGATTTGTACGAAAATTGGAACTGAGAAAAAAGTTTTGAAGTAACCAAGAAATTAACCATTTTCGAAAGTACGTAAATGTCTACTTTGTGGGTTTCCTTTTCTCCTAAACAGTCCTAGTCTAGTCCATTGTTTACTGCTCATTTATTTTCATGGTTGAACACTATCAGTCCATTTTGGATATCGTTTATGTATTTGCTTCTATTTCTTTTTCTTTTTCCAAATATGTGATCATTGTTGTGGTATTTTTGTTGCCTGTTTAGTTCATGATTCCCTCATTACAGATGGTCCATCTTTTTTTAAAAACTCTGAATTGATCGAAGAAGGTGACACCGTGATTATTTACGTAACATTCGACTCGACGCATGCAATCATTGCACGACGAGGCCAAACCTTGTGTATGAAATATGGGGCACTGCGACACGAGTTCGTGATAGGAAAGCCGTGAGTGGACTAGTCGTTCGTTGTGCTTTCAACAGAGTTTAGATGAGCAGCTGGCAGAAGTATTCATCCTATTTTCCTCAGC